TGTAATTTTCCGGCATATGCATTTTTGAATTCTCCTATCTTGGTGACAAACTATACAGTCTGTGCAATCTTTCACAGTTTTGGGTGCCCTGTTGCGTTTGTGTGTGCTCAATTTTGGCACTTCAAGTCCAACCCTATTAGGTTAGGTTATCGGATTGCTTGTTCTCATGTGGCAAACGCCTTTTATCAAGTATGTTAAGATTACTAATATTTGCTAAGAGGGGTTGTAACCTCATATGAATTCTATTACACCATTTGAGCTTGATCTGTTCACACTGGAAAATGAAACTCGGAGCAGGTCATTAGGCGTTGTCCTCAAGAACTGGTTATTCGCTTTTATTTTCGTAACTTTCCGCTGCTTGAGGACAATTCGGCTCTAAGGATATCGCTGACAGCAGCTGCTCACCCATAGCGATCTGCAGTCAAATCAGCACCATTCGCTACCCGATGCTTTTCAACATTGTCATCAATTTAAAATGGCAACGTGCACTAGCTGATTGCCGTGATGTTCAAACAAGCTATGAGGCGTAGATTGAGGATCATGAATTTACGGCTGATTTGGCTATCCGTGACCATAATTCTTCCACACCGCAAGTTTTCAGCATTGACATCAGTGATCTTGCAAACGACATCGACACATCAGAAATCGAATTTTTCAAAAGTCGATAAGGAAACGGTTTTAGTGCACTGCACCTCACTCGATCTTTCCCGAGGCATTGTGCTTTTATTCAAAAGCGAACTATGATGGAGTGTCCGAGATTTGTTAACTGAAAGAACCGTTAAGGATAGAAGCTGAAGTGTCTTATAGAAGTTGACAAACATTCACTAACTAATGCAAAGTCTAAGCGTTCAATTTTGATGGTCATAATACTGGTTTATACGAGCGAAGGAAAATACTAAAATCTCAGTTTCATGGATGACTTCATCAATGTTGATTCTCGAATGCTATGTGGACTCCATCAACCGTCTATGACATACACGAGTATCAAATTGGCCTCATACCATTACAATGCTGTTTGTTTATGCCCATCCATTTGGATTTACCAGCAATCATCTTTTCTCATATTTACACAGTCTTACAGTCCTTTCTCTATGGAACATCGATATATTTTCAATTAATCAGAGTTCAAGAAGTAATAACTTACCCACCGTGGTTTTCTTTTCTAATCCAACAACGCCTAACAAAATTCCTCTCGTTCCGTTTTTGATATTAGTGCCTTCAGCCAGTTTGCAATTTTGAGCCAGCATAGAGATCAGAGCCTAGTCGCAAGTCAAGTCCTGTTTTTTCATTACACACCTAAGTGTGATGAACAGCAGACGGGGCGAACTCCATAGTCACGAGGACCTACTGTTCAGTGGTGGAAACCGGCAACCTAAGCCCCGAGACTTGGAGTGGCGAACCACATAAGGCCCCCGATAGGTTAGGCGTAGTATTGAACCGGACGACAGCACAGCTGCCTACCACCATATATATATATATATATTCTTGTCATTCTGATAGAATTGAATTAGGCATATTCGAAGATGAATTCGGAGCTCCGTTGAACTTGATCTATTCGGTTGTGCGTTTCAGTTCGGTTTTTACACGCTTTGATTGCACATCACATTATAATAGGTCCAGAAACTTCATTACCTAATCTCCACCATGTTGTAACACGATATCTTGATTGAATCTGACGACACGTTGTTTTTATTTAATCACTCTTTGTCGGAAGAATTTTTTCTCTCTATACCATTCTGACGTTGTCGAATTGATGAGCTCGTTCGAATTGGCATCAGCCTAACCCTGACCTTCAGTGAAATGCATTAAATTTCGGTTTTTTAGTACAGTTTGGGTGCGAACAGTCAGATTACTTTCCACCTGCCACTGCATCTCCATTTCAGTCCACATCTGCGGTGGTGTGTTCCGGAACATCTTCTCCAGTGGTGCCATCTATAGAGACATCCATGTTGGCCGAACCCGCCGCTTTGAATGAAACCGAACCGGACGACTGGCATGATGATGAATTTTTGGATTTTGGTATGACTGACACAAAAGTGAACCAGCTCCGTTCATCTATAAGCTCTCATGGAGATGAGAAAAAGGTTATTCATCGGTCAGAGGTATGTAGCCACACCGATCATACCCATTCCTAACCTTGCCGTGACATAAAAATGGCCCCTTAGTCAGTTAACCCTTAAACACAAATAGGAAAGTACCTGCTGTTGGTTTTAAAGGATTTCTTTTACATGTAGAGCATAATGCCATACTGCGCGATGCCAGGATCTATGCGTAGTATCTGTCGAGGCACCTCCGTGCAACTCCAATCGTTTTCTCGTTCGCGAGAAAAAAGATATCACGTCATTGTGTGGTGATCAGTTTAAAGTTTACAGATACCGTTGTATAATCTGCTCGCACCAGGAGCTTGTTATTCCGTTACAAGTTAGCTAGTTACTTTCAAATGGTGACGTTTGTTGTTCTGGCATGCTGTTACACCTTCCTATTCCGTCATCTCATTCGTATTCTCTGCACACCGCTCCCAGACCCTTTATTGTTTTTCTGGGATCTAGGATTTCGGATCGGATGCGTGAAGTTGCCCCTTAACCCTAACAGATTGACATGATGTTTTCGGTTCACAAGGCCCCTAATGAAATGACTGTTGCACTCCCATCAGGCGATGTTGATAGTTCGCTTCTCTTTATACCGAAAAATGATGGCTTTTAATTTACAGGTAACTTTATTTCTCTCCTTTTCTTTATGAATAGTCTAGCGAAACAATTGTGTCCGATTTGCGTAACACAATTCAACAACTTGAAACGCGTCTATCAGTGGACACCCAAACTCATCAGAGTCAGTTAGAAGCTTTGGAACAAGAACTCAAACCGGCCAAACGTCTGCAGCACGCTCTGTTCCAAGCGGTACAACACTTGGCTTCCGTTCTCCCTGGTCCCCCACCTCTTCCACCTGGTAGTCCATCCTTATCAAAGGAATCTTTCCAACCATCTCGCGATTGGCCTCCCAAAGACCCAGAGGCTCAATTGGCCATGATAATCGGATTGGAACGTGCCGCCAGTGAACAAGTGAAACGTCTGCGTACCGCATTAGACAATACTAAAGAAGCTTTGGATTCACTTTCTGAGGAGAATGAAGAATTACAGCAACAACTGGAGGAGTTTCGAGAAAAGGCCCGCAATTCTACCCAGGAAGCCACTCCGAAGTTGGTAGAAACACCGGAGACAGCGGCTGTTTCATGCCCTGCAGAGGACGAACTGAGCCGGTTCGCTCTCCGCTTGTGCTTAGCGCTAGATCCCGAATATAATGAAGACATTTGGGATCCTGAACAGTGGGACTATCTAATGTACGAGTTGCTGAAAGTGAGTCTGTCAGCGTACGCTGAATTATACGGATCAAAGCTCGTCCTTATTTACTTTTCTAATATATTGTAATCTAAGTTAAATACCCTCCTGTAGTTCAGGTGCAACGAAATCGTTCATAACATGAGCTAAGTCAGTATAAGATTGATGCACCTTAAGAGTACTGTGTGCTAGTTCTGGCTTTTTCCACTTTGATGTAACTCGATTAATTACCCAAATGGAGGCTTATTCATTACACATTTTGGGTGCAAGTCCGGTTAAGGTGAGGGATGTTTGAAGTCCTCTGGTAAAATATGCTGATCATGCATGGTTAAGGTGATTACGCGAAGCCCCTTTGTTTTTAATTCATCGTGACCAAATGATGTTACTAGTGTATCAAAAAATCGATGCGCCATGTGTTGTTTTATTGTGAATGTTATAGTGTTAATAACACAGCGACGTCGGTAGAGAATTATATTCGCCGACGTTTCGGTTACCGTGGGTGACCTTTCTCAAGGTAGGTTTTACAATCAAATGACAGCTTCACGCTCATTCCTTCGACAACGCATTCACGATAGTGCTGTAATCATACACTCACTATGTTTCACAATTCGAAATCTGAATGATTACTTGAATCTTTTGTTGCCAACCCCTTTGTTGTTACATTGTATGAAAGTTGATGCTCATAGTAGAAGTAGTGGTTTGCCACGGCGAGCGATGTTTGCCGAGGCAGGTAGTGGGTGGAAAAAAGCCAAGGACGGTCAAGCTAAAACCGGGCATGAGGGTATGAAAACCCTAACCAGGAATCTAGGTCCCGTTAGGCTCTCTGGCTGGGTATCTCGGGATGATTTTAACCGATGGTTAGAGACACTGAGTGATATGGCTGTATCGTAAACATTGTCGTTCGTGCTTCTTCTCAATTTATTTGCAACCTTAGACCACTGATCTCCGTTTTATGTTCGACTTCACTTTCAACTTTCCTTTCTTCTAATGTTCATTCAAGTGAGTAGCAAAAAGACAGCAACCAAAACCGGCGCACGAAAGTGCATGGTTAATAGTTGTATAAACTGAAACTGAAACTTGTAGTCAGTCTAGTCATCATATCCCACTCCATTATATTATCTTCGGCACTAAAATATTTTCAGTATATGTTAAATTCTTCATCTCAACAATCCATTAAAAGTCTAGGTCTGTATGTTCTAATTTCTTTTTTCCCATAATTAAAAAATAATGGCAGCCTGGAGTGGAGAAGTTGCTAAAGGACACCGATCTTGAATTAACATTTCGCCCTGAATTTCTGGGTAATGACCACCACAGGTTTATTATTGACATTCAACCTCATTTGTAGTGAATGTCTATAAAACTAGTTAACAACAAATTTCTGCGGTAATTCTAACTTAATGCCGATGCCATTCAATCGTAATTTGTCTTATAGCAGTCGATCAATAGCACCAATCTTTTCTTTTGCTAGACTCGATTTGAGGACTCTGTTGTCGATTCCACAGCCACTCCCGAAGTCGTTGCTGATGAACGAGTTGTCAAACTTTCAGCTGAAGTGGCCGCTCTCAGAGATATTCTAGGACAGCATGCGGCTTTTCGTTCACAGGCGGAACGCGATTTACGTCAACTGCTCACCACGGTGACGTCACAACGCGCCCAACTGGATGAACTAACGGCCCAAAAAGAACAGCTTGAGCAAGACCTAGTCGAATCCCGTCAACAAGTGGAGCAGTCGATCCACAGTCGTCAAGACGAAAGTGATGAGCTCAGTCGTGCCGCGATTCAACAACTTTCCGAGCTTGTGCGAACGAAAGAGGAAGAAGTGGAACGTCTTCAGCGACGTTGTGAAGACTTAAAACAGCTGATCCAATCGGCGCATACTTGTGTGACCGCAGGCGATTCAGACGGAACGGACAACGCACCAGCTGATGAGGATGTGACGTCCGTTCNAGAGCGCCTGACGCAACAGTGGTCCGAAGCCAAATCACGAGCAGAAAAGGCAGAAACAATGTACGAGTCGGTCTTGAGTGCACTGGAGCAGAAACACGCAGAAAGTCAAGCATATCACACCGAGTTGCAACGTGTTTATGGAAATTTAACTTCGTCTAATGAGCAGTGCCAAATTCTGCAACAAGAGGTGAAGGNTTGATGTGCAAGTGAGTCTCGGCCTCTTTACCGATGAGCCTAATCTTAGTGAGAAAGGAGCCATACAAATTTCGTTATACATATACAGCTGTACAGGTTATATATTCTGAAGCCTAAAGCTATTGTTTTTGGTATCGTATGGTTTTACCGTTTCTTTCTCTTTTTCAATAAAGTCCGAAAACCTAACCCTGAAGGCTCCTACACTGAAATCTGACACGGATGAAACGAAAGTCATACTGGAGAATGTTGCACCGTTGACATCTACCGTCGCGAATACGGCCGATACATCCAATGCGGATGCAGATAGGACGAAACTAATGGCAGAAGTAGAACGTCTGCGGGCTCATCTGCTGGAGGTAGGTTTCAAAATTCATTTTTGATGTATATGATACCGCAAGTACCTACAGGTGAATTATGTCATTTTTATGCAATTAGTAACTTTTTAAATGAAAGAGCACTATGCAAATCCGGGATACACTGTGGGTGATATTCATAACTAATCACTTTCATTTTTCGGGTTCTAATCTAGTGTTCCATCAAGTGCCAGCGGGGTTCTTTTATCTCCAGTTTATCATCTCCGTGACTTTTTTCAGTTGACTGATTTCTCGCAGGAAGGGCATAAGCTGACTTCACCAAGATAATGCATTTTTATCAAAGTTCTCCTCAACCTCAGGTTTTTTTGTTCAACGGCACAGCTGCAGTCTTCGCATAACTAAGTACACCGGCAATGCATCAATGTGTTTTTTTTTGTTACCGGTGATGAACAAAGAAACATTCATTGCCCGTTATCTGTTTATGCAATTGAGCAATTCATGCATCCCTCTTTGTCGCACAGATTTATTTCGCAGCCTTTTTATCAGGCGGTAGATTTCGTTCGTCTATGAAGAGCTAACTGCCTCACCGAGGTTTTTATATCTCACCGTTAACTTGCTTTAGCACACATTCTAAGTGCTTTACCGTGAAGTGACCATTGAGGTATGCCTCAGTTTCTTAAAGCCACTGATTGGTTGTGTTGTGGCTTACAACTGACTGATTTGTGTTCATGCATGCCCATGGTCAAATTGATTGATCGATCGATCGGTTGATCGATTGACTGTCGTGCATCTCCTCAATTTCTTTGCAACCTTGCAACCACTGAACTTCTCCATTTTCTTTTCAACTCCGCTCTCAACTTTCCTTTCTTTTCCTATTCTTTATTCAAATGGGCAACCAAAATCGGCGCACGAAAGTGCATGGTTAATGGNATGGTTGTTCAAACTGAAACTGAAACTGATCGATTGACTGACTGTTTGAATTCTGGCTTGACGGCATTCGCATGTACTGCGACGTGTGAGCCGAACTCTGCCGCCTGCCTGCCTGCCTGCCTTCCTACATACTGATCGTTCCTGATTGTTACCCGGTTTGT